GTTTTTATATTGGGGAGTAGACAAACGTTCTTGGGCGCAATTTCTTCGGTTACTAAACCAGAACGAACCATTACCACCAGATGGTCCATTTAAATTTATACTTCCACCAACAGATTTGACAGTTTATAGAAACGTGTTCGACCCTCAAAATGTCATGTGTCATGCAAGTTTCAGTTCAAGCAACAACAGTTTTCTGTGTATCGGTAAGGACTTTTATGACTTTGCTTCTAAATTCTACGAACCACCTAGTAACAGTTTCTCTGACTTTCAAGTTTGGTTCACAACAAACGGTGTGCAGCATATAATACCATTGTACTATGACTTTTATCTCGAATTGTCTTTCATATACAACTACGGAAAAGTGCTGAAAAAGTATTGAAAAATATATTTTAGGTGAAGTGGTGAGATCTCACCTGTTTTCTCACCTCTTTTCTCACCTCTTTTTTCACCCGTTGAATTTTGTATAAAAAAGCAACCGCCGGAATTCCGGCGGGTGGTATATTCTTCACAAAATGCTTGTTTTGAGGTCGAGCCACAAACGAATGTCCGACGGTTAAGCCACAAACGAATGTCCGACGGTTAAGCCAAAAACGAATGTCCGACGGTTAAGCCAAAAATATTTTTTATTTTTATTGTAAGAACAGTATGACAGTCGAAGCAAAAACGTTCACGAACAAATCTAATGGCGAAACATTCACAAAAGGCACCTATAACGGTATTGAAGTCTTACGTAGAGACAAGGATGGTTATATAAATGCAACAAAGATATGTCAGCAGTTTAGGAAAGACTTTAGAAGGTTGTTGGAAAATAAGTCCTGGGAAGAGTATTTTAAGGCATTTTGTGAAGAATATACCAACCCGCGGAATTCCGCGGGTTGCTTTTTATACACAGTTCATGCAGGAATTCCCGATGAAATCAAACAGGTTAGAGGAACGTATGTAGACCCAAGACTCGTAAACTATATAGCAATGTGGGCTTCTCCAAAATATTGCATAGCAGTTGGAAAAATTCTGGACTCCATAGACAAGAAAGTTCATGAGAAATTAGATGAAGAAGAACTTGAAGATACAGCAGAGAATGCAAAACCTTTGTTCGAAGAAGAAGTTAGAAAAATGCGCGAAAAACAAATAGAACATGAACATGAGATATGTTCTGGTTATAGAGATTCTCCATACGAACTAGACCAATGGGAACAAGAAGATTTAAGGAGAGAATTTAGAGAATATGAACTCGCTAAAGTTTCATTAGAAGCTGCAGAAGAGAGGTTAAAAGGTTGGGGTCGTTTTGTACAAAAATATTGTGAGTAAATGAACCATTTTATTTTTATTGAATTCGGCAAAAATATATTTTAGGTTAGATGGTTTTTAGGTGTCACCAGGTCCCTCGGTCCCTCGGTCCCTCGGTCATTTTAACTTCTCTGAAAAAGTGTGACAACATGACATTTTGACAACAACACAGGAGATAGATTTCATCGTAAATGTTTTGTATAAAAAGCACCTGCCGGAATTCCGGCGGGTGGTATATTCTTCACGAAATGCTTGTTTTGTCAAGACTTTCATCGTAAATGTTTTGTATAAAAAGCAACCGCCGGAATTCCGCGGGTTGGTATATTCTTCACAAAATGCTTGTTTTGTCAAGACTTTCATCGTCAATGTTTTGTATAAAAAGCAACCCGCGGAATTCCGCGGGTTGGTATATTCTTCACAAAATGCCTGTTTTGTCAAGACTTTCATCGTAAATGTTTTGTATAAAAAGCAACCGCCGGAATTCCGGCGGTTGGTATATTCTTCACAAAATGCCTGTTTGTCAAGACTTTCATCGTATATGTTTTGTATAAAAAGCACCTGCCGGAATTCCGCGGGTTGGTATATTCTTCACAAAATGCCTGTTTGTCAAGACTTTCATCGTATATGTTTTGTATAAAAAGCACCTGCCGGAATTCCGCGGGTTGGTATATTCTTCACAAAATGCCTGTTTGTCAAGACTTTCATCGTATATGTTTTGTATAAAAAGCAACCCGCGGAATTCCGCGGGTTGGTATATTCTTCACGAAATGCTTGTTTTGAGGTCGAGCCACTTTTGGCTCCACCTGTTTTTTCAACCAAAGCTCATTTTTTTCGGCAAAAATATATTTTAGGTGAAGTGGTGAGATCTCACCTCTTTTTTCACCTCTTTTCTCACCCGTTGAATTTTCATGAATTTTCCCGAAATAAAATAAAAAGTTAGTTTTTTTAAAAAAATATTTTTTATTTTTATTGTAAGAACATGTTAGCAACAACAGCACCAAACTCGTTAGTCATGAACCCAACTTCAATGTTAGTAGAGATGAAAAGCTTCATTCCTTCTTCATATACTTTCGAAACAGAAATCCAGAAGATAAAGCAAGAACTTCTCCAAGGAGATTTAGACTGTAGTGCAAAAGATGAAACAAATGAAGAATATCTTTATGAAATGCAGGATATTATTGACCATCTACCTAAACTTCCTGAAATACAACAACAAAAGCTCACTATTCCTGAATTCGATGAAATAGAAGTCAAAGCAACTGACTCAGTAGAAACCAAGAAGTTCATACGTAAGGTAAACTATGAGTTTCTTGGATTTCATTGCAACCACAAAGTTATGGACAAAGATTGCGATATGGTATATAAGAACATCTCTGACATATACAAATCTGAAGAATTTAAGACCTACGACAACTTTGTTTCGTTAGTTGCAAAATGTGTATGGCAGATAAGAGATAAAGATAAAAGAGGTAAAGTATGGAACGAACAGATAAAACCAGCAACTTTTGAGTTAAAGAAAACCATTGACGCCTTAGTTGTTTTAGCAGGTCAAATTTCAATGTACAATGCTAAAATGAACCCACAATGTTCTAAATGTAAAGCAGCAATGAGGAAATATAACTACTCCGTCAAAGAGATAGAAAGAATGCGAAACGACTATGCAGATTTAAAGAAAGAAGTAGAGAAACCAGCAGAAGATAAAATGGACATGTTGACATTTCTAAACAAAAACTATCCAACAGCTGACGATTTCCTTCTATCTGATGTCAAGAAGAAATATAAAGAAACATTCGGCATTGTGAAAACTTTTGACATACTGACAGAAGAAATAGAAGCTACAAAACTGTTTAGGATTTCAAATATACATCGGACAATTCATGTAAAACGCTTGTGAAAAAGAGGTGAGAAAACAGGTGAGATCTCACCTCTTCACCTAAAATATATTTTTGCTGAGTAAAATGACCAAATTTCATTATATAACTGTTATGAGTGACGAAGAGAACTTTGACACTTCGTAAAAAAAATCCCTGAAGTCTCAACAAAACATATACGAAGAAGTCTATTTCCTGGACTGTTGTCAAAATGTCATGTTGTCACACTTTTTCAGAGAAGTTCATTTGACCGAGGGACCGAGGGACCGAGGGACCTGGTTAGATCTAAATATATTTTTGCTGAAAAAAATGACCAAATTTCATGAATTTCCTCATATGTTTGCTACCCCGACTTTTTTCGGCCTTGCATAAAACTCTATGAAATCATGAAAAAATGACCAAATTTCATGATATAACTGTATTTTTTTGACGAAGTGAACTTTTACTCTTCGTAAAAAAAATCCCTGAAATCATGAAAAAATGACCAAATTTCATGAATTTCCTCATATGTTTGCGTCCCGCGGAAAACCGAGGAACGAGATTCCGTACGAAAATCGTAAAAAAACTCTATGAAAATCGTGAAAAAATGCTACCCTCGAAAAACCGAGGATAGAGATTCCGTACGAAAATCGTGAAAAAATTGCGACCCCGGTTTTTTTCGGGGTCGCCTAAAACTCATGAAAATCGTGAAAAAATGCGAGTACGTTAAAAACCGTAGTCGCCTAAAACTCATGAAAATCGTAAAAAAACTCTATGAAAACAGTGAAAAAATGCGAGTAGGGGAAAAATCCTGGTCGCCTAAAACTCATGAAAATCGTCAAAAAAATCCCTGAAATCATATCTTTTATACAAGATAGAAAAAATAAAATTAACGCTATTTTTTTAAAATATTTTTTTTTATTTTGTATGTAAAGACAGGAAATGACAAGCACTGAGTTTGAAACAGTTAAAAAGATAGACAATGACACCAAAGTGGTTAGAATAGGTGATTTAAACGTAAGATACTCAAAGAAATACAAAAAATATTCTTTGTCAGACATTTTAACACTATCTGAAGAAAAGAAAGCACACGACTGGGTTAAAAATGCTTCAACTCAGAAAATTTTGACAAGAAATCCTGAGCTGATGATATCGGTAAGATTCTATGGAACAAGAGCATATCTCATCGACAAAAGTCTTATACCAGTAGTTTTGTTCTGGATTGACCCAGTTGTTGGATATAATTTCATAACATATGGTTCATTCGATACTGAACGTTGCAGTGAAGGCTTACTTTACATCGTTCAGAAACCGAAGGACTTCAATACAAAGAGATATAAGATAGGAAGAACATTTAATATAACTCAAAGATATGACAGTATAGTCAATAGAGTTAAGGTTGCGTTTGTTAACGATATGAGAGCTGCTGAAACAGAACTACTTGAAAAGTTTGAGAAAATGTATGGTGCTCCCACGAGAGGTAAAGAAACGTTTGAAGTAGATGAGATCGACAAAGCTATAAAAGTATTTGACGAAGTTGCTGAAAAATACATGTAAAGCGTTTATTTTTGGTCTTTTATACAAGATAGAAAATAGCGTTAGTTTTTATAAAATATTTTTTTTATTTTGTATGTAAAGACAGATATGACAACAACAGAGAACACAACAACTGCTATCGTTCATGAAGATATAAATGAAGAATACGAGTACATACAGTATAACAAACAACTCCGTCTCATTCGTTCGGTCAAAGATGACATGTACCAAATGCAAAGTATTTTGAATGCTCTTCGTTCTACAAAGCAAGCACGTCATTGGTTTGAAAACCAACAGACAAAAGAACTTTTAGAAGAATTTCCTCATATGTTTGCGACCGGTAGAAAACCGCGGGTCGAGATTCCGTACGAAAATCGTCAAAATTTGCCAAATGGTTTGAGAGGTTGGTATGTACATAGACTTCTTGTAAATGCTGTTGCAATGTGGGCTTCACCTCGTTACGCTTGTTATATTTTCATGATGTTAGATGAACTTCATAGACAAGAACGTGAAGAGCTAGAGAACAAGCTTGAAGCAAAAGACAAAAACATACAGAAAAGAATACCACGTTCGGTACCAAAAGGAAAGGAAAAGAACTATAAGTATATGATTTACACTGAAGAGATGGAAAATGAAGAAGACAGAGATATGGTTATGTTGCATTTAGTCAGAAGAAACAACAAAAGCTTTTACGACCTTGCTAAGATTTACAAATCTGACAGAAATTGGTTCTATCGCGAAAACTTACCGATTTCAATGACACCAAATGAAGATGTTAAACAGATAGTTCAAGATACGTTACCTCAAACACACTATGATATGAAAGGTTGTACAATACTTACATTCAAAGAAGATTTACCGCTACTGAAGGAAAAGATAACAGAGTATTTTGACAACTTCAAAGAAGAAGAGTAAATGAACCATTTATTTTTCAAGCTTGACACCAAAGATGGCTCAGGTAGCTCTAGATGGTAAATTGTCTTGTCCGAGTCCTTCTGGCATTCCGAGTCCTTCCTTCCAACAGGAAAAGTTTTTCCTTCCAACAGGAAAAAAATTTCCTTCCAACAGGAAAAGTTTTTCCTTCCAACAGGAAAAAATTTTCCTTCCAACAGGAAAAAATTTTCCTTCCAACAGGAAAAAATTTTCCTTCCGACAGGAAAAATTTTTCCAGTTGTCCGTCCGTAAACCATTCAAATTTTCGAAAATTGAGAACTTTTTGGCCGACCTTCAGGAAAAATTTTTCTTTCCGACAGGAAAAATTTTTCTTTCCGACAGGAAAAATTTTTCTTTCCGACAGGAAAAGTTTTTCTTTCCGACAGGAAAAGTTTTTCTTTCCGACAGGAAAAGTTTTTCTTTCCGACAGGAAAAGTTTTTCTTTCCGACAGGAAAAGTCCTTCCTTCCGACAGGAAAAGTCCTTCCATCCGACAGGACACAAACGAATGTCCGACGTACCACCAACCGAGTCCATTCCAAAGCCAGAAGAACCGACAGCCCCAGCACCACAACAGACTAAGACTCAAACACTTACATTTTTACGCTTGACTTTTTACAATTTGAACTTTGTTCGCGTAGATATGAATTCTGAAAGAAGTATGAGGGTCTTGTATGACTTTGTACTTCTCCCATAGTTCATGTCTGTCAAACTTACCTGCCATGGACTCTTTCATAAGTTCCATGAAATCGTCTTCGGACAATCCGGGGAAAAGTACAATCAGTAAGTATTCTCTTTACATCCTTACTTAAACTCTTTGCTGTCTGTACACAAATGACAACTGAAATGTTAAAGTGTCTGAGCTTCTTAAGAATTCGACACATGTCTTGTTCTCTGTTCTTTAACAAAGGATGAGAAGCAAAGTCATCTAAGATAAGAAGACATCTGTGAGGGTAAGTCTTCCAATCGTAAGATTGCAATTTCTTCGAAATGTATTCTATCTCTTTCTGTTTGTTTCTGAAGTGTTTCTTCTCTAATATTCTCTGCATTTCCTCATTTGGGTCTTTAAACTTAGAATTGACATACTCATTTATAGCATTGTACTTCAAAACTCTTCTTTGGTACTTCTTTATCCAATCTAACAACTCAGTATCTTTTATACATACTAACTTAGACTTTTTTATAATATCTTTGAACGAATTGACGGTTTGGTCAAATTGACCAGAAGTACTACAAATGACTACTAACTCATAGAATGGGTTCTTCTCATCTAGTTCTTGTTGTTGTGCAGCCATTTTAAGATAAGTGAAAGTCTTACCCGACCCAGGTGGTGCAATTAGACCTGTTATACCATTCTGAGCAAATAAGAACTTGTCATGTATGGGTTTTATCTGAGCATTTTCCAACTTCCTCTTGTTCTTATTTAAAACATTCTCAAATTTCTTGTCAATGTCAGCAAACTTTTTTTCTAACATATTTTTAGAAAAATTAAAATTTTTATCTTTTAGGAAATGTCTAGCGATTTCGCTATCTATATTCGAGACAAGCTTTTCGACAGCAAAACATCTGTCGACCATAAAATCTTACATAGTGTAAACAAGAAAGGTGAATTTGTTCTAAAGTTCTGTTTCTGGGAATATGACAAGAACCATAAAACCTTAAGCAGAGAAGTCTTAAAATTTGTCAATGACAGACTTGTTGACAGAGATGACGCCTCTTGGAGAGATGAAGTCCAACAAAACTTCTTAGAATGCAAAGAAGACACATGCGCTGTTCTTGAAAATGAAATAGAAAACAGAATAGAAGAGCTATTAAATGACAAAGCACTTTTACAAAAATATGGTTCTGAGAAGTTTGACATAACTCCACCAGAGAAGAAGAAGAGAGAAAAGAAAGAAAAGAAAGTAGAAGAAGAGAAGAAAGAACCAGAGCCAGAGAAAAAGAAATTTGACATGTAAAAATAAAATTTTATTTTTAGAACATTTCTGGGTCAATGTCAATGTTCTCTTCCTCTTTAGGAGCAAACACTGGCTTAGACTCTAAAATCTTTTTACCCAATTTACCTTGAACTTCAACTATCTTAGACTCATAATATTCATAGTCGTCTGCTTTCTTTGGTTCATAAGGTATAACAAGTTTGTATGCTTTGCCTTCTTTAAGGTTTGAAAACCTTCTGTCAAAACTTTCTTTGACTGTTAACAAACCTTCTATGTCTAAGTCTTCAAATTTCGCACCATTTTTAGTCACAATAGCAAACTTAACTGGTTCGATGTTCCAAACTTTGTCAAATGTAGACTTTTCAAAATGGTAGAAGTAAACATTCAAATATGTGAATGGGTCTAGTTCTTCTTTAAGTCCTGACATGTACTTGTTGACTGAGATGAATTTCGTCATCTTTTCTATCGGATAAAAAAATATTTTTTTTTAAAATTTACTCAGAAAAATTTTTCTTTGTATATACACCATTCTGTACGTCTAAAAGACTTTTGACATTTGCCAAGAATGTTCGTTTAGACGCTGTCATATAACCATACTCTTGACAATACTGTTTATACGAATCGTACAATGACCTTTCATCTAAACACTCAAAGTCAGTTTCATCTATGAACAGTTCATATACACTCTTGTTTGCTTCTAACAATGTTTGTCTCTCTTCGGTATGTGGAATTTGTCTTGGATTGAACTTAGAAATATCTAATGTCATGAAATATGAGAACAAGTGGTTGTAAAAGTCAGATGTCAAAGTTTCTGCTAAGTCGTCAAAATATTCTGTATCTTGCATATGAGCTTCTGACGTTCTGACAACTACATATCTTCTGTCAGAACTTTCTAACTTCATCGGAACGGCGTTGTTTGAAACCATGATGAATTTGCAACATTTTCACAAACTCTTTGGTCTTATATTTTCTTTCAACAACTCCAACTTTGTCTGTTATAAGACTCTTCAAAGCATCTGAGTTCAAAACTTTTGTTGTATCTATACTTTGAAGTTCGTTACATACTATAAGTTTCATATTCTCTATTGAAGAGTTAAATTTACCGCAGATGTTTTCTAAGTTTGTCATATTCGGGTTCGAATAGCCCTCTAACAGTTTGCATAAGATATCTGTAAAGAAAGTGTTCTTACCTGTTCCTTGTTTTCCAATTATGATGAGAGCAGTTTCATTTTTAGCACTTGGATGTTGTAAGATGTTTGCAAACCAACATAAGATATACTCATAGACTCTTTCGTTTCCATTGCATATAATTTCTTTGACATGGTCTAACCAAGCTTCTATAACATTTTCTTTCCATTCTACTTGTTCGTATTTATATCCAGTGAAGATAGAATAGAAGTTTGGAGAGGTGTATAGAACTTTATACCACGAACTGAAAAATCTTCTAACTTTGACAATAAGATATCCCAAGCATCTAACATCTTCATACCAACTTGTACGACTTTTATTTTCTTAAGTTTCTGTTTACATTCTTGTTCTGAAACTATTGTCGCTCTTGGTTTGTTAAAGACAACATCCCATTCTTTCATGACATAACATTCTGGGGCAGAGTCAACATAAATGACTAAACGTTTCAAATTTTCGACTGCTTTGTTATAGTCTCGAAATGGACACATATTTCTGAACGCTTGGAAGTCATAAAAATCTGAAACGTCTATTCTGTACATTTTTTTATATAAAAATAAAAAAAAATATTTTTTTTATTCTTGAGCTTGTTGTTGTTCTTGACTTTGTTGTTGCATTTGTTCCATTTGTTGCATTTGTTGTTCTTGAGCTATTTGTTGTTGAAGTTGTTCTTGTAGTACAATACTTTCACCAGTTGCATCTTCCAATTCGAAACTTTCTGCCGTCATTGACAAATACATAGGACATAAAAGTTTTACAGGAACAAAGTTTGCGTCAACTAAGGTTAAGTTTATGTTTGCTAAAGTGTTTGAGTTTACTAAAGCTGAAAACTCTGCATTCGAATGAACAATAGGCAAACCAGCAGAGAAAGTGTTGTTTATACGCATGAGTATCTTTTGGTCATAGTAGTTTCTGTCGACATTCGAATAGCACTTTGAACCTAAGTTTGAAACAATATATAAAATAGGTGTACTTAAAGTCAATGGAACAGACACCTTGTATGACACCTTTTCCTGTTATAGGAAACTGTTGGTAGTAAAAACCAGATATAAGTTTTGTATTATAGCTCATATCGTTTATACTAAACTCAGTCGGACATCCAAACATAATGAAACCTGCTCTAGTTGCAGCACATGTTACATCCGTCCTTAAAGTATTAAATAAGTCAACAAAACCTGTTGGTGGTATATCTGAGTAAGTATCTTCAAAGGAGTATTTTTTACCATTCACAACAAAAAATCTTCTGGTGTCAAAAGAGCAAAACAGGCTTTAGTCGTCATCGTGTTTAAGGTCAGTTTACAATATCGTCCTTGAGGACTTTGTAAGTTTGTTGTTATAGAATTATATGACTCAGGGTTTTTAGTCGTAATAGTATAAACCACTATGTCTTCTGCCATTTACATATATTTAAAAGTTTTTCTGAAAGTGGAGAAGAACTTCATCTAAACTTTCACATGGCGTTTCTTGAAGTTCTCTGTCTAAGAAGTTCAAATATTTTGTAAAGACATAGAACTTTCCTTTGTCTACACGAACAAACAAAACAGGGTCTTTCATATCGTTCAAAAGTGTGTAAAGTCCTTTACATGAAATAAAGTCTATATTGTTTTTCTTCAAACATCTTTCAAGAAGTTTTGACATTTTTACTTAGCAAGTAAATTTTAATGAAATGTTGTGGTCGTCAAATATTTTTATGACGTCTGGGAAACTATATTTTAAGTTCAACGTTTCACCTCCTTTCATAACGTATATCTTGTCAATGACATTTATATGAAACACCACAGCAAGCAATGTCGGGTTCTATTTCTTTGATGTTTATATCGTCTGCCTCTGTCAAAAGTTTCAATAGTTCTTTCAAAACTTCATGAGGTGCAATGACATATGAGTTCACTTTTACAGGGTTGTGTTCGACCAAGTTTAACATTATACCAAAGCTGACAAATCTTCTCCTGAGTTTTAAGTTTGTCTTTAAGTTGTTGGTAGTCGTTTCGAATATCTGCAACAGAACTTAAGTCTCTGCTAACTTCAGGGTATGTTGGTTGTTCTTTTACAGGAACTATTGTTATACCATCTTCGTCTTCGTATGGTTTCCCCACTTCAACATCTCTGTCTTTGACATTGACAACAACACTTTGACTGTTTGTTTGAGTTGGTGAATTTAACTTCACATCTGCCATCGCCATTAAACCTTTTGAAACACTTACGCTTCTATTTTTCGGAAATGACATTTTACTTAGAATAAAAAGATGGACGTATTTGAGTATCTCTTCGAATTGAAGCAAAACAAAGTTTACACACACAAACAATACAAGTTCATTGACAGAATAGTTCTTTATACAAACAATGGAAAATGTTATAGAATAGCAGTCTTTGCTGAACCAAAATATTTTCATAAAGCAAAGAAAGTTGGTATAACCGAGATGGTGAAAGTTCTTGAAGCAGACAAAAATATAACAACAAAACTGACCGATATTTCTAAAGGTAAGTTTATAATACAATATTATATCAAAACTGGCGTACTGTCAATATTTGACGGAGAGAAGTCAGTTCAAGAACAACTTACTGACCTGCTGCCAAAATCTGCTCGATGGAAGCTGTCGTTATACCAATCTGAGGAGCCCCAGCAGGTTTCATCGAACGAATCTTCAAAAGAGCATCTTCCGTGAAAAGTGCTATTGGTTTTGTAAACTTCTTTGCTTTCAATTCATCTGGACCGTCTCTGTCACCAGTATATTGTATTTGAACTGTACCAACAGTTGAAATACCACCCATAAAGTCTTCTGAGTCAGCAAATGGAATGCCAAGCCAAAAGTTTGAACGGTCTCCATTTGTATATTGAGTTTTTTGACCTCCTGTATGAGTCCATACTTTCACATATGGCATAATAGAACTTTGCATTTCAGGGTTAATGGTTGTTGTGAAGTTGTTGTTAAAGTTCATAGCATCTAATGTCAAGTTGTATGACCTCATATCCTCAACTGTAGAATATTCTTCTCTTGGATAATATTTGCCATCTATGTTTATATGATATTTAATACCAGGGTTGTAGAAACAAGAATAGTCATTTATAGTTCGTCTGAACAGTACAAACATAGTATCTGCATGTTTCATTGCAGTTGTTAAGGCAATATCTGTTCTTGCACCTGGGTCAGCACTTTGGTTTCCAACTTCACCTGCAAAGTCTTTGACAGATATTTGGTGTATAGGGAACATAAGTGGAACTGCAATATATTTGGCAGCTAAAGCATTTGAAATATCTGGGTCCAACATATAGACTGCAAGTCTGCTTTCTATTCTCTTGCATTCAAACTTTTCGCATGTGAACTTAACTGGGTCCCAAGCAGTTCCAGCAGCATTGAAGTAGTAGTTTACTTCAGTGTTGAGGTTTGAGAAACCAAAGTCTAAGTCAACTTTGTCTTTGCAAAAGTCACAGAACTTGGCTCCACCAGTTCCAGCTACAGTAAGAGTGAATGGGTCTTGTGTTGGTGCAATGACTAAGTTATTTTTGCTTGGAGTAAGTTCGATAGAAATTTTTCCTGCCCAGTTTGGCAAGTATCTTAAAAACCTGAAGATGAGGAAAGATGACAAAGGAACTCTAAGTTTCAGTTTTACTTTGGTTACTGCTTCCATTGTCCAGAAAGGTTAACATAAACTCCTGGAACGTTAGGGTCAAGTCTTCTTATTTTCTCAATAGTTGCATACTGGTCTGTTTGTTCTCTAGCTTGTGGTTGTACTGAGTTTCTCAAAGCGAACCATTCATAGTTTGCCCATGTTACTGTTTGAACTAAGTCAGAGTTAGAATATATCTTATATCCCATGAAAACTTCTGGAGCATATTGGTATCCGACATAGAAAATTCCATTGCAACCTTTCTTGTCAGACAACTTGGCAGAAGGTTTTATTTCAATGTCTTGTTCCACGTATAAGAAAGAGTTGTCAATAGAAATTATATGAAACCTGTCGCAAGCAATATCTACTGTTGTTGAAGAACCTTCTCCAAACTCACCTACGTTTCCATAAGAAACAGCAGTTGTATATTCGTAAGTTCCAGGAACTATTTCTGACCTTCTAATGGCATTGTCGCATTCGTTATACCATTCGGAAACATTTCCATTCATGGCATCCAAAACTGTTGGCGTTATATTCTGAGCGGCGTACATTTCATATGGGTAAAAATATAGAATAGTTGGATTTATATGTCATAATAGAACCCACGTGGACCAAGCTTTACTTTCTTCCTGACTGAGTTTTTAACTCTTCTTTTTCCTTCATTGCCACTACTTTCACTAGATGAAGTTACTTCTTCACTACTTTCACTTTGTTCTACTCTTCTTCTTCTTTGGTGTCGCTTTGGTAACTTGCCCTCTGCTTCAAGTTGTTGCATCTTTGCCTCATGTTCACCTAGTATGTTGTAAATTTCCCATGTCCTTTTTGCCTTTGGGCTCTGGTCGCCCATCTCAGGTAACCTATATCCTAGAAAGAGTTTGTCATAGTTTGTATTTGAGTCTTGCGTATTGTTTGCATGACTCTTTCCTGAGTTTCCGGTTCAAGCTCTTCAAACAGTGCCTGTCCATATGGAATAAGCTCGTTTCCAAATATATGTTTTTGTAGCCATTCTGGTTTTCTTTCCATGTTACCAACTATATCTTTTGTGAATGGGAAAGCTTTTACCCAATCTTTCAGTCTTGCGTCGTTTATTTCTGTAGTTGGTTTTATTTTGTCAAGGAACATGTTTTTCAATACTAACATTTCATTTGGTACTGTCCATTTGAGTTTTCTTAAATATTCATCCCTTCTCAGTTCATTGTCTGCAAAGTAAGTTTTTATGACATTTTGCAAACTTTCGTTTGCAAGGTCATGTACAATAGGTTCTCTTCCTTCTCTCCCTAACTTTCTTTCTAAACTCTTCACCAAATATACCATCTCTATGGTTCTGTGTAGTTCTTTGAGATAAATGTTCTAGAACGTCAGGTGTTATATTTCCATCAGCCATGTTCATTTCATACTGGTCCAAAATATCTGCATGTTTCATATCTTTCAATGGCATTAAAGCCGCGCTTAAAATACCAGCTATATCTGGTTCACCATTGACTTCCATTGCGTCTACAACTTCTTGGAATTGTGGTTGTAAGTTTATGAACCACCTATCCGGGTTAGCTTTATGACCCCATCTCATTGTAGTTCCATCGTCTGCAGAAACAAAAGTAGGTTTGTTTCCATCTTGGTTAGGTTCTGAATGAACTTTAAACAATGTTTCATTTCTATATGTTTTCTTGAAATTTAACCTTTTATTTTCACCGAGTTCATCCGAAGATTGAACGTTAAATGCTCGTAAGTAAAAAGGGTTGTTGTATTTGTGTACATTTTCTTTCAGTACTTCCATTCTATGCTGAATATTTTCATCTGGTGTTGGAGTCTTTTGTATGTCGGCAAACATTTTTCGATATTCTTCTACTATGTCAGCCGAATTTTTTTTAGACTCTTGGAAATATTCCATATTCTCCGCATACTCTTGAGGGTCAAGATTTTTCGGCTGTTCCAAATCTTCATCTAGTTCTGTGAAGTTAGTTTCCAAAGGAGGACTTGTTCGTTTCCTTCAGGCTCTTCTAGCTGTTGTTGCTGAACTATTTCTTCCATGTCTGGTTGTATCTGAACTTCTTCCTGTGGAGTTTCTTGTACCTCATCTGCTGGCATTTCATATATTCCGAGACCGTTTTTAAAAAGTTCCCTTTCTAAGTCATCCGGACTCATAAACCTTTCTTCTTTCGTTCCGTCTCTATTTTTTACGCGTTTCATGAAGAGAGTTAAATTGTCATTTAGCTCTGACATCAAATATCTCGGAGTAAATTCATCCATGTCATTTGGATGATATGCTATTAAATCATATCCCTTAGCGAGCTTGTATTTTCCAGGTTTGAGATTATATCCCCTTTGGTGCAGAGCCATAAAGCTAAATAGGTTCGGGTCAGTATTTCCATCCTTGAACTTTCGAATAGCTTCTTTATATCTGTCACTAAAGTCAATAGTATCTGGGTAACCATAGTCTTCTTTAAGCATTTTTAAGAATTCTTGGTTTCCTTGTTCTCTACTTCTTTTATGTCCTTGCTCTGGTTGTGGAGGTGGTTGTTGTGCAGGGTTTTGAACTGTTGGTTGTTGTGCTGGTTGTTGTGTTGGTTGTTGTGGAGGTGGTTGTGTTGGTTGTTGTGCTGGATTTTGAACTGTTGGTTTTGGTGCATGCCTGTGTCTGTGTCCATGTGACGATGTAAATGTTTTAGGTAGTCCTGGTGCAGGTGCTTCTCTTGGAGGGTTTGGTGGTATATAAGTTCCACCAGCTGGCACATATGTTCCATCTGCAGCGTAATGTCCTACCTGACTTTTCGTTCTTAAGAAAGCATTTACTAGGTCTGTTTTGGTCTGTTGTAACTCTTTTTCTTGACTTTTCACAACAGTTGCTCTAACGGCGTCATAGGCACTTTGAACTGCCTGTCTCGTTGCTGCATCTGTTATTTTCGTCATATTTTGTGCTACTTCTTTTAACTCTTTGTCGAAACCTTCAGACTTCAGTTTCTTTCCAGATGAGAAGTCGTTCACTTGTTTCACCTTACTATGAAGAGCTTCGAAGGCGTTCTTAAAGTCAGCATTTGTTAAAGCTTCATTTGAACTGTCTTCATCCGCTTGTATTTTTGTCCTTATTGACCCTATAAGCTGGGCTGCTTTAGCGTTGGCTTGGGCATCTAACCAGTCATTGTTAGCTTTTATATATTCTGCACTTTTCATTGCCTTTTGCATGGCTGCGTCGTTATTTTTACTTTCTTGTGCTAAGTTTTCATACTGTACGGTTTGGTTCTGCAACTGTAAAAGTTTTTCTGCCTTTACATTTGCTTCAACTTCTTTTTTATACTCATCGCTATCCATATATGTCTTCAGGGCTTTTTGTTTTATCTCTTCATCTTTCAGTACTTTATATTGAGTAGTATGGTTTTTCAAATTTATGACATCTTGTTCCATTTTTGCTACTTCTGCTGCTTTTTCTGACACTTTTTTCGCATATTCCTCTGTACTTAGTTCTTTCAGTTGTTCTTCTTTCTTCTTTTTCTCTACGTTTAACTCATTGAGTTTCTTTGTGTGTCTGTCATATTCTAGTTTCTTTTCGTTTTCACTTATTTGCTTCTGTATGTCTATGTTTGACTTTTTGACATCTGTTATTTGATTTTTGAGTGAACTCAAATTCATTTGACTTTGAGGGTTATAGGCTGTTCCGTCTGCAGCTCCACCATAGCCTGCCATTTTCGCTAAAAGTGCCGCTCTTAAACCTCCACTCTGTGCACCAACAACTCGGTTTAAAAGCATAGGATTGCTTGACATTTGTTGCAACATAGTGGGGTCATTCAGCATTTGTTGTTGCAACTGTTGTTGTGGTGTCAGTCTTACTATTGGATGTTTCAATGCTCTCTTCCTCTTACGTATATTCTTACGTAGCTTACGTGGCATTTTAAGTGAAGTTAAAAAGCGGTTTTATACTAAACATCTTCGGGGCTAGAGGGCACGAAGTGCCTGGAAGCCCCAATACTTTTTTTTTTACCACCCTCGAATATACACAACGAAAACAAGAAAACTCTTCTTCAACCCAAAGTTTTCTGTGAAAGCATTATTTCTTGATATAGAAGAAAAATGTTGCCACGAATGTGAAGAGCTCACTGTTGCATACAAATTATTTCAACACATACTTCAATGTCCAAACTTTTTTGCTTGTGTAAAAGCCATCTTATCCTGTGAAATACTTTTAAAAAGGTTTATATGAGCTATGTTGATGATAAATAGCAACAAATTCATTCTAATGACATCAAGAAAAAAATATTTAGAAGGATTTGCTTCATTATTAGGAAATGGTGCAAAATGATAAAATGCATAAAAAATAAAAAAGGATAAATAACATTTATATATCAACAAAACAATAAACATATTAAACATGATAATTTTGACAATCTGTTCCTAAAACGTAGAGTACTTTGAAACTTTGACAATGGGTGCCAGTGATGTACTTTGTGCAGTTTCAGTAAAAAGTTTGGACAACTCACCGAGTTTTTCGGACAAATAAACATCTCTATCTCTAACTGCAGCAGCACGTGCAATAGAGGCCCATGATTTGAGTTTTTCTTTGGAATTATTCAAGTCTTCCTGTTTCTTCCTATTTGCCGAGCGACCCATAAGCCTAGAAATGGATGTCATTGAATCTTCTGCAGCAATTCTTACAGTATTTGACCAATGGTTACGTGCATTCTCAATGTGTACTAGTAAAAATGGTAATATTTTTGTCGAAGCCTGCGAAATAAGCTCCATTAACACAGGAGAGATAATTATCTTATTTGCCTTTTCTGCAACCTTAAAGGATGGTGAATCACAAAGTGATCCTATGATCTTGAACGCCCTTCCGAGTAATCTGTAATCGATATTTCGTGCAAATTCAAGAGATTGAACAAGAAAATCGAGCATCATCTCTTCTTTCGCAGGTTTCGATATAGGCCAGATATTAATAATAAGGCGAACAAACTCATTCGTATTGGAATAGTTGTTTGTAAAGAACATTTTCAGCAATTGTAATAATGGGAAATAAAAAACACCAAAATGCTCATGGCGTATCAATGGCAAGAAATGGCTATGGTAATAGGGCTTAATAATGTCTTTCAAATTGTTATTCGACTGCTGACATGAATAAATTATTGAAAGAGCAGAGTAAATGCCACATGGATCAGGGTCGAAGTAATCAGAGATAAGAATACGAATAAGTTTGGGGAATATCTCAGGAAATAGTTTTGGTTTCGCAGTAAGAACATTGACGTAAAATTGAATTATCAATTCTCTTTCTCTTTTATCTTTTGAACTCAATACTGGTAGTAACTGAACCAGAAGATCTATGTTAAAGCCTTTGTATTTTGGCATATCACGATACAATGTATTTAACATGCGATAAATATATTCCATGTGCTCAAAATCGAATTCTTTGAATGCACCAACATCAGGATTAAATAAAGTAAGTTCATCAAGTTTGTTCAAAGGTCTAAGTAAATTGATTTTGATTACATCAAGGATTGTATCCTTTATTTCATCATCTGATATCGAGTTTAACCCAAGAGTAGTGAACGAGTTATTAATTTCGATGAGTGTATGTTTCTTAATATCTTTTGCTTGGCGATCGTTGCAAGGATTTTCGAAATCGCACAACTGTTTGCATAAGTCCAGTTTCTTTAGAAGTATTGATTTAAATTGTGAATCATTTGGCTTAGGTATTGGTGGTAATTTTGGTAATTGTAGAGAGCGAGTCGTTTTTTGAAGAAGGACTCCTACACGAGGTGAATCGAAATTACCTAAATCAGCGTCTGGCAATTGATCAGTATCTACAGCTTTTAACTTCGGAACCTCATTCTCAGGTAAAGGAGACAATTGTGATCTACTCGCACTATAAACTCGTCTAAGAGTTCTAGAAACAGTAGTCGGAGTATATAATGAAAGGGAACTTTTGCCTTTTGGGTATCTTATTAACATGAATAATCTATATAAAAAAATTGCTGAAAAGTGTGAAGATTTCAGAACTTTACTTCTATTATTCAATTCTATATTTTATTTTTTTAGATCGAAATAATGCTTGTATGTATCTAATAAAAATAAATGAACTCGGCAATATTTTTGATCACACAATTGAATTTTTGAGATGACATTCAATTAGAGAACATTGAATGAATAATAAGTATAGATATTAGCTGCATGTATTTTCACAAAAGTATTACATTGACACTTTTAGAAAACCAACGTGCAAGCTTGATTTTTGTTTTTATCTGAAATCTCACGTTATCCCTCAACCGTTTGCTTCCATATTCCTAAGGTAAAATGCTATTTAAACCCGTCATTTACAAAACATTTTGTTTTACAGTATGAAAAATCATGTTTATTATCCAATACAATCGACGACGAAAAAAAGATTAACGATTTCTTGGTCGTTGTCTCTAAAACCTTTGGGCATCATTACGAAATGAATGATAAGATGCCATATATTCAAAACTATTCGGAAAAAAGACAAAAGTTGAATTCATTACGTGATCATATAGAATGATTCAAAGCTATGAATTAAATTTAGGTAAAAATATAGATCTATACTTTCATTCTACTTTGGTTGTTAGCTTACACAATTCTTTCAATTATTCTTAGAGAATTATTGAGTTATATAAGCCAGCATTGATCTGCTGAACATGAAAATAATAGAATCATATACAATTCTTTAGGAAAACAAATATATATTCTGAGTATCGAATGACTTTCACTTAAAATACGTTTTATTAATTTATATGACGCAAAAATATTATATAACTCATGTTTTAAGCATGATCATGCAGCTTCAAAAAATCGTTTTCTCACATAGCCTTAATCCAGAATAAGATAAGGATTAGAACTCACAAGCAAAACATCTTGACGATACAGACGGTTTGTCCGGAAAATTCTTTGCAATTTAAGGTTATTCGTTATCTTCTAAAATAAATTATCCATTCATTGACACGAAGCAAGGATATCACATATCATTCAATTTTTTAGGAATTTCTTTCAAATAAATGCTTCCAATCTTATTTACCATCATCTCTTCAAAAACCAAATACGGAATTATGTGTGATGCTGGTAACTCTGGCACACGCGCATTTATTTACACGTGGGAATCTGGCCAACAAATTCCGAATGTTCATCCTCCACCAGAAATAGCACGTTCATATAGGATCAAACTTCCAATTCCAATAGCAACTGCAGTTACAAACATTAATGCAATAGAAACTATATTTAGCCAGATATTAAATTTTTGTAATGGAAAAATTCCAGAAGAATACATTGAAAAGACAAGATTTTTCGTTTTTGCATCTGCAGGAATGAGATTACTACCGCAAAAAGATCAGACAATGATTTTAGATAAAACATATGATTATTTACGTGAGCACAGTCCATACAAACTAAAGAGGCGATACATTAGAGTTATAAGTGGCATTGAGGAAGGTGTCTATGCTTGGATTTCTGTAAATTATCTTTTAGGTAATTTAGAAAACAACACACATACAGTTGGAGCTCTTGATATGGGTGGAGCTCCATTCCAAATCGCAATAGAAACACCAGAGTCTGTGAAATCTAACTCAATACATAGAGTTTCAGTTGGTCAGAAGTCTATTAACCTATTTGCACACTCATATCTAGGATATGGAGTAGATGAAGGGCTTAGGAAAGTATCAAGATCCATATCTGCTGTTCTAGATCAATCTCAAATACAAAATCCTTGTGTTCAAAATGGATATCATACAAAAATAGAATCAATCGATGTGGAAGGGACAGGTAACTTCTCTTCATGCTCAAGATTGATTAATGCCATGCTTTTGAAATCAGTTGAATTCAATTCTATATCAGTACCAAATTTAGAGTATATTGATAGATTTGTTGCTATGTCTTCAATATACTATACAAACAAATTCTTCAATTTATCACGATCATCAACACTTAAAGAGCTTAAAACACAAGCTTTAGATTTTTGCCGGAAAGACTGGTCACTGCTTCCAGATCACATCACAAATATTAGTTATTCTCCAACATACTGCTGGAAAGGTACCTATCAATACAATGTTCTTTCAAAAGGGTATAAATTTAAAGATTCCAACGTTGTAATCGATAAAGAAAATAAAATCAATGGCGTTGATTTGAGTTGGACTGTTGGTTCGATGCTTAGCGAGATTACTGAAATAGAAATTGATGATCAAGAAAAATTGACATTTAAAGACTTCTTTATTGCAGCATTGTCTGTTGCAATTTGTTGTATTTTATTATATATTGCCGGGTTTAAGCGCTTCAATTGGCTTTATATACGAAAAACCCGCAAAATGTTATAACTTTGTTTTTTTGTATTTGTAAACGTAGCCATTTACTTAATCTATGATATTTATGTGTACTAATTTATACTTGCAATGACATTTTCTCATATCAAGTGTTCACATTGAAATTATGCTTTTGAATCTTATAAATTTATTTGGAGAAACATTTCCACTCACAGGTTATTAAATATATCCAATAGTTTTTAATGGAGGTACCGGTTCAGTTCTCAACAAATCCAATAGACATCGGAATAAAATCGATTTATAGCGTCCATTTGACCGAAAATCAATATTCTCACACAGAGGAGCATTTTATTGCAAATCGAAATTACATAAAAATTATGAGAAAAAATATAAAATAATAAAAAAGGTGACAATTAATTGTTAAACGAATGAATCTTATACCTGTTGCTCCACACTCAGAGGACTTTGGTCTTATTGAGTATGAGTTACAACTTCAGCTTAATGCTCCAAAGCTCAAGGTTTCAGAGTGCTATGTCATTTCAAATCCGCATGTTGAAGCATCATATATGAATTATTTCAAGACATTAACACCATCCAATGTCGTTGATGTATTTGTTCCAGCCAAAAACATCGATCAGGCGATTGCTGATATCGAAGAGAACGGAATTGCCGTCAATCCACAAACTGGTTTCCGTTTCAGGGTCGGTTCCTTCGAGGTTGACAAATCCAAGCCAATGATTGAAGTCGTCAGACTTACAATCGCCCTTGGCAACACATTAAATCACTTACAGCCATCAACACAACTCAATAGCAATACATTTTCATCTGATGCACCAACAAGTGGTCTCCTTCGTGCAGGTTATCACTCTCTTTGCATATCTGAAAATCATGACTACATTGTTTTCAATTCTGCTCAAATCAAGACATGCAACTACATCAAATTCAAGGGCGGTTCGAACCTTGACCAACCACGCGAGGAGGATGATCTTTGCGAGCAGTGCGGTAGAGAATTAGCTACAATCTGGTGCAAGAACGATAACGCAAAGTTCTGTGCCAAATGTGATGCCGAAGCTCATGAAACAGCCATTCGCCAACGCCACGTACGTATGACTCTTGCAGAAGCACGTGCTCTTATGGAGTGCTGCCCTCACCATGAGGACACAAGAGTTGAATATTTCTGCACTGTTTGCCAAACACCAGTTTGCTTCCAATGCAAGATGATTGGCAGCCACTCAAAGGGTGCTGCTGCTTCCCACCAACTTATTCCAATCAAACAAGCTTACGAAGAGGCTTTAGAAGCCGCATCTCACAAAGATCCAATCTTTGTTAAGAGAAAACAGGAGATTGACGAGAAGATGCAAGATGCCGATGAAAGACTCGCTCAAATCATCAGAAACGAAAAAGATGTCGAAGCTGAAATCATGAGATTGGCAAATGCTGCAATTGAAAGAGCCAGACAGCTTGCATGCGAAAAAGCAGTTACAGTCAGATCTTCCAAGCTCGAATTGGAAAGAAAATCTGCAGAAATGGAAACATTATCGAAATTCCTCGAAATCGAGAAGAAATACTCAGGACCACTCAGCTTCCTTGCTGCATACGACAGACACTCGATGATTGTCGCAACAATGCAAGGAACAGAAGATTTACCACCAGATCTTACTGTTGAAGGCGATCTCTGCGTTTTCGGAAAGCTCGATGTTTGCCCATCAGCTGAGAAGCCACGCCAGAGCTTCATGCGCGATGGATTTGGCGTAAGAAGAGAATCAAATTCTCCACCAAACCAACCACAGCCACAGAAGTCATCTCCACCACCTCAGCAGATCGTAGAGTCTCCTAAACCAGCCCCTCTTTCTCCTCCAAAGCAGCAAGTCCAGCCAGCTCCAGCATCTCCACAAAAACAAGAGCCAAAGCAGACTCCAAAGGAGCAGCCGAAGCAAGAGAAGGCACCAGCAAAGGCGGAAAAGCCAAAGCCAGCAAAGAAGGAAGAAAAACCGGCAAAAACAACAAGAAAAGACGATAAAACAAACAAATCCAAATTAAATGACAAAAATACCAAAGCAGCCGGAAAAACCACCGACAAGAAGAAAGGCACAACACAGCGCACAACACCTCCACCACCTCCAAAACAAGAAGAAGATGATGGAGACGTCGATTCCGCTTCAATGACCGAGGAATCCCAATCACAAGCACGTCCATCGGTTGTTGCAAGAAACATGCCTCCTCCACCAGCCCAGAAACCACTTCCTCCTTCACCGCAGAAGGCCGCTCCTCCTGAGGAACCTCCGCAGAAGAGGATCAACCCAATCCTCTACAAGCAGATCCCAGAGCCACCATCAATTGTTGAGATGGCCAGGAGAAAGGAAGCAAAGAATAAGTCAAGAGGCATTGAGTTGTCATTCCAGCCATTCGAAGGCAGTGAAGTTATCTCGAACGCAAGCAGTGCAACAGCTCTCTACTTGTGCTTCCCATTCAAGAACATGCCGCAGACACATCTCCTCTTCTCATCGATAAGAGATGGAAGAAGCATCGAGAGAATGCATCAACTCATCGATAACATCGGAATCACTTGCGTTTTGGTAAAGAAAGATGACCTCATTTTCGGAGGTTTCGCAGCTGCAAAGTGGAATTCTGATGGAGAAGCATTCGGAAACCAGACTTCTTCCTTCTTGTTCTCCATTTCTTTGGACGCATACATCCCGTACAGACCACACATCGCTGATGCTTGCAACTTATACGCAACAAAGGACACTTTGACATTCGGAAGATATGACTTAGTTTTGGCTGATGATTTCGACAACTGCTCAGCTGTGATTGAGAACTCCTATGGCGTTGGATTTGACCCAGGAAGCACTGAAGCACAGACATTCCTCGCTGGAGAACCAACATTCAAGGCTGATGCTGTCGAAGTTTGGGGCTTCTTTACAATTGATCAGTAATTTTTTTTTTGAATTCCTACTTTATTTTATTTTATTTTTATTCCTTTTTTATGTCATTCATCAATTATGTAAATAGTGCACCATGATGTGTTTTAAATATGTTTTAAAAGTTAGAATGAATCGAATTAAAAATAATTCCAAATTCTTGTAAATTGTAATGAAAACATTAAATTTATATTTTGATTTTGTATTAACTCCAAAGTGGCATCACAACATGTTCAATAACTCCAAGATGGCATTGCGATATTGTATGTAAATGACAATATTTTTGGATTATTATTTGATTTTTTAAAATAAGGGTTCTTAGTTAAATAGTTGATGAAGTTAGGTGAAAATGTAATATATTTTTGGTTGAATACTCATTAGATTGCAAGAAATTGATGATATCATTAAGACAGATAATTGATAGACTTACATATCGCTTTATTCGTTTTTGTTGATATTTATTATTATTCATGAACTATATAATAATTCCCTATAAAAACATTTCTCTCAATAATTGAATAAAATTATCCAAGATTAATTTTGTATTGAATTAAAAATTGTTGATGACTAGTTAAATATCTAATACACTTCACGATCAACACAAAATTTTATGATAGGTTTCAATTTTGAAGTATGAGGTTTTTTTATCCAGGATGAAATTCAGTAATATTAATTTACAGCATGCGGATATCAAATAGTAAATTTTGAAAGAGTAAAATCTGAAAAAATGCGTACGATCATAAAAAAAAATTTTCCCTCATCCATTTCAATGTTTTTCTTGTTTCGCTTCGCATCTTCAATCAGTGTTTGTGTTTCATCACAAAAAAGACAATGCCCAACTGGATATGAACAATGGAACAACCAATATGGCATTACAGAACTTCTTGTTTACAATTCTACGTTCAATTTAGATCTTGATCACATAAATATGCACAATATATCACTTGTTTTAGGAAAAACAAATATCACACTAACTACAACATCTAATGAATCACAGATAATTGAGAATTTAACACTTTCAAACGCCGAATTTTCAAACCAATCAGCAATCATAATTAATGGCAACATAACAGTCGCTAACACTAATTCACAATCATACGCATCACTTATTGGTGGCACTTATGGAAATATAACTGGTGTTGTTTTCAATATTTCAGCCGAATTTATTCCTGGATCTTTTATATATCGTACAATGACAGATTATATATTATCATTCAGAACAATACCTAAAAACGTTCCTACAATTGTCTTTCAACAGAGATATGAACAAGGAATCCCAAGATACCTCGAAACATTCTTCTATGGAAGTAAGAGCGATGTAGCAGCATTAGAAAAGAGAATTTCAGAGATATTCAGGTACGAAAAGAATGTAGATGATCATCCATTCTGGATTCACCACGAATTGACATCAAAATACCTTGATGTTTATCTTACAAACATAGATTTGTTCATGAGGTACTTACTTTACTTTTCTGCTATCAGTGCTGGTTTATTGTGTGCCGTTTTCATTGTTTTCTTGGTTTATTACTGTAAACATACAAGAGGCAAGAAGGAGGCACCAAGTGCTTATCTTGCAATCCCATAATTTCAAAGTTTATCGTTTTTGATTAGATTTTATTGTAATCTTTTTCGAAAATGTTTGATCTTTTAATATTACCGTCACTATCAATAAAGTATTATTTTCTTTCTTTAGCAAATGCTTTTCAACTTTATTTTTTAGGCCAAATATTCCTCATTTACTTGACCATGCTTTGAGGCAATTTAAACTTCCAATGAAATATGGCGAAAAACACAATCTCGATCATATTTCCAAAATAAGAATAAAACTGTAAAGATGAAATTTGGATTGAAAAGTTCACGATAAACCATTGATTTTTTAGTACAATTCATCGAGGAAATTATGTAGTCTCACATAAATGCTTTCATTTTGTAAAAATCATGACCTTTTGACAAATTTTCAACTGAAAATAAAGGTAACTAAACTCCTTTCGCCGATCCGATTTGCCCCATATTTAAAATATAGCTTGCATATGTAGAAGAAAAGCTAATTTTGAAGTACGCCCGAAATCCACCAACAGGATTTCGAGCTACTAAAAAGGTACTTTTAAATGTGATTTTTTTTTATAAAAAATTAAATTTATTTTAAGATCAGACTAAAAACTAATTTTATGGAAAATCTATATCGACAAATTTATTACTTATTGGGTATATAGATTTTTTGATTATGGCGATTATGTCTGATATGCTTCCAATAAGCCAAAACAGTGTTTTGGGAGTGATTAAATACAAAAAAATCTGGCGATGCTTTACGTGGCAAATGGTCGAATGGTTATTACCCCTTACTATTTGGTACCGGGGACGCTAGTTCGAAACTGATGCACTATATTTTTTTACAAAATGCGTTTATTAGGACAGGGTAAAGAAAGGTTGCCAATATAATATATTTAAATAAATACAACTAATCTAGCATAAAAAAACTATTGAATATTTGAATTCAATAAAAATTTATATAAAATACATGTAAAGCATAAATTACTATATAAATCAAGCTGTATTTTGTTTTAAACACCGATTGTTTCATATAATATATATTCAACTCAAGTTTCTAATTAAGGATTTCATATAAAATTTAGCATATGATCAGCAACAATTAAAATTAGTATTACAATTAATAAATTTAGTATAAAAACATATAGATTTAGTATAGATTTTATAGCTGTAATAAAAGAACTATTATAAAAGAGTAATTTACTGAAATGCACCTTATATTTATAAACAAAACTTATAACGTGTTAGTTACATATAGAGTTGAAATTCATAGATAGCATAGAGAAGTTGGGATCTTGGCTTAATGGTCATAATATAACCAAATTAATTCAAAATTTGAAATTTTAATATTACTGTAACTATAATATATGGATATGTTTTATGAGATCATAATAAATGACATGTTAATGTAAAATTTAGAATAAAAAATTATATTTTTTTAAAAAAACATTGTTCATGAGTGTTAATTGGAGAAGTAGTAAATTAGTTCAGTTTGCAAGTGATGATGGTTAATCTAACTATAATTACAATCAATTTTTAAAATCTTTGATTTATTTTGGTGATAATTAAGAGTGCAGTTGTTCTATTTATAAACTATTTACTATAGACGGCACTGGTGATAATAAAAATCAAGCAAAAGCGCATCTGCTGTTGCTCGACTGCATAAAAATTGTAGTTAAAATTTGAATACTTTACATAACTCATTTGTAAGGTAAATTAATATTATTAATTTATATTAAGAACAAATAAATATGAAATGTATTTTTTTCCAAAAAAAAATTAAGAAAAATGCCATTTTTATCATTGTTGTTAATGCCCCCTAATTCTTGAATGATTTTCGGGAAAAATAAATACGAAAAGAGAAATCATAGCTGCCAGACAACCATTATATGAAATTCATTCAGTTTACAAAGTTTAATTTCTTTCCACAATAGTACATAATATAGTAGTATATTCGGAAATATGCATGCTCGATATCTCCAATTCACATCTCATGCATCTTATCGGAGATTAAGTAACTTTATCTTGAAACTAGAAAAGTAATTAGCAAGTAGAATATATAAAAAATATAATGTTGTTTTATATTGATAAAACCATAAGAATGGCTATTCTAGAATGAAATTTTAGTACCTATATTCAGTGAAAGGTTTATTTGTAGTTGAACTTTCAAATGAAAACTCAAGGATCCAAGAATTGAATTGCATTAACAAACCAATAATGAAATATGATATATACATATATATTTTACCCATAAAAATAGAATTAAATCGATATTTAACTCAAATTGTCAAAATATCAACAAAATAATTTAAAAATAGATATATATATAAGAGAAATATGTGATTTTGGTGTTTAAAAAAGAAAAATATTGCCCAAACAAGTGTTCTAGCTAAAAAGGAAAAATGCATTATTTCATATTTCAATATCAATGTTAAATATTAAAATAATCTGCCATTATTCAGACAGTTAAAAAATAAATACACTATAAGTTTAAGCTTTAGCTGTAAAATAAACAGTAATATTAAATAAACATTATATTATATAGTCGGAGCGATTCTATATATGTACTCTTATGCCAACTAGTTACAACCTAGTAAAATACATGGAAATATTGTAATATCCTAGCATTGCTATCGAGAAATCAAAAAATATAAGCAAAAGTCATCTTATATTTAAAGATTTTTCAAGAGCTTTGTTTGGAAATTAGTTCATTGGAAGAAGTATATAGATATGAAAACCCAAAGTATTAAGTTCGATAATATATAGTTTTTTTTTATTTTAAAATTGAATGCATACAACATTGCTCCTCTGGAGTGAATTAATTAGTTCCAACTTTTTCAAGATTCTACAGTGTAATATGCTCCTTGGAATGTCTCTTGCATGAATGTTTTTGTTTACCATCTAAAGAATTAAGATTTGAGATACAATAATCTTTGGAAAAGTAGAGGATACAACAATAAAGTATGTTCTTTCGATACATGATATCATTTTGTTACAAAAATATTCTTACTTACTCATGATTCAAAAAAAAAGGTTGCAGACATACTAAAATGTTATTTATGTGGCTTGTATTTACTAGCATATGTAATTTGGTGCTAACGTATACCATCAATTTCATTATAACACAGACATATATATTACTATTAGAATTTTATTTTAATTCAATGATAAAATCAAACATTCCTTTTTGAAAATCGTTCTATCTTGTTATTATCTTTGAATGCTGCATCAAGAACTAACAATTTACAATTTTTATTCAAATTATAATATAAAATTATAGCATATTGGTTTTCAAAGTATGTTTGCTAAAAGTAATTGCGCTTATCGTTTACCCCCGCATTAACACATATAAATTTGTATTAAAAAATGATATCAAATCAAAAATATGGCTTCCTTGCTAAGAAAAGCGTCAAATTTATTATGTTTCTCCTTAGCCGAAAGTGTATAAATTGGCAGTTAGATTTATAGTATCCTAACTGTTTTTTGTAAAGTTCGTCATATCTTTAATGGTACTATTTCAGCGTGTACAATGAATACAAAAATTCTAAGAGTGCCACATAAAATAGTACTTTAGACTTGAGTTAATGCTACCAAGCAAATGTTAAAAAGATGACTTTAGTGTTTTGATAATCAAAGATTAAAATCATTATTGTCTAAATCAATAATCATAACGACAGAAGTTAATGTTTTTTCATCAGTGCTTTAAATCCACTTTTAAAAGTATACCTCAAAAATCAAAATATCAAAAAAAAATCTAGTTTTTATGAATCTAAAGCTTTCTATAGTTCACATGCAAAAACCTTTAGTTTTATACTTTTTTATGGTTTTCATGAGACAAAAAGTTATGATTTAATAATTATTTTTAATTTTCCGCTGTTATCAACATAGATGACAACTTCATACACTTAGTTATCTAATATCTTGACTATTACACTCCTTAACCCCCAACATTCAAACAAAAACCTTTACGGATGCCTAATATGAAATTTTCTTTTTTAAAAGACATTTCTATCAATAAATTATTTCTGGTAGTTAGACAAAGACCATTTTCTAAGTTGTTCAGAACTGTTTTCGTGCAAATTATCTATGAATGGGCTTAACAAGTTTAATCTGAAAGTTATTTCCAAAACAGAAATGCATATACAATCAAAAGAATATATATTTATGCCAATAATTGATGCTGATGTGGTTTTGCAATTTTACAGTTATTCACATATCATTATGCATTAAATTTTCATATTTGCTTATTTTTCTATCTTTTATCTTATGTATGATGAATTTCATAACTATTGGATATGATTTCATCATTCATATTGCATATTTCCATTTTGAAATTTTAGGAATCTTCAATTTTGGATGGATGTTTATAAAGTAGCTGTTGTAAATGGAATTTAAATTAGTAGTGACAACATTTGGTCATAACAAAATTGTATCTTGTCGATTACAAAAAATTAATTTCAAAATAATTTCTACAAGTGAAGCAAAAAGATATTAAATATCATTACCAATTCTATTCTAGTATGAAATTATAGAAAATATTAAGTTTATTTTATTCAGATTGGTCTGACATTCTCTCAAAAAGTTAATGAATGTTGGATTCTATATTCCTCTCTCAGACATCAACGAACTTAAAAAGAAGATTGAAGAACTTGAAATTGAAATAAAAGGAGACCGAGAAACGTTTTTAGTTAAATTTAATCAAGATATTCGAAAACAAATTTACAAAAGATCATTTGAAACTGATGTTCAGGTATTCCCGTATACAGGAACCGGAAAAATGCATATGTATAAAGCCTACCTAGAAGACTTAGACGCAATAAAGGCTGAAATGCGCAGAAGTCTGTTGAATAAGAATATTGGAAGAAAAACAAAGGAAATAGAAGAAGACAACGATGATCACCAAGACAGAACTTACTGGAATACAGAATTTCCGGAACATGTTCCTGAATTTACAAGAAATATTATACATACTATTATGGAAAACATTTGTAGAAAAGATAAAAGAGGTTATAGATATGGAGGTGAAAGTGAATTGGT